TACCTGCTTGTATTCTACACAGAGCTTCTAAAACAGTGGTGAAGGACAATTTTTATTTATCTGTTAGAAAGCTAAACTTTGATAATATAAAATAAAATAAAATGAATTAGTATAAAAAAATGAAAACAATACGAAACCTATTTTTGAGATTCAACAGTAAAATTTCAATAAATATGAAAAACAAGATAACATAGGAAAAATAAAAGAATTACAAATACTGCACATTTCTTCTCGGCAGTCCATTGCAGACTGGAAACAGTTCACAAACCAGCTCCAATGAGTGGATCATACACCTTGAGCAGCCTTCGCCGGGACATCCTCACGAGGAACCATCAGGCTTGGCTTGCCCAGTGCCACTCTTGCTACTCCTGAGAGCTCCCTGTTGTAACATGGCTCTGAATCTTTGGAATTTCCTCCCAAGGTTAAGATGAATCTGCTCCCGCTTCAAATTCCAGCCCTTGTTGACTTTAAGCCACCAAAGTAACAAGGGAATTGGAGGAAATTTTCCAGTGTTTCTCAGCAAGAGGGAGTATATGAATTACTTCCAGATGAAGTATTTTTAGTTGCCTAGGCAGTGGTGATGGCATATTCTGCAGTGGTGAGGGTGTGAAGGTGTTTATTAGGAAGGAGTGAGGCCCTGGGTGACTTGTACTTAATGCCAGCATTTAGTCTCCATCGGTATTTGCTCAGGGAATGCTACCAGATGTTCAGTCTAAGAGGAAGATGAATCTGGTGTCCCAGGAGGCAGGGCCATGCCACTGTGCAAGTGCTCTGTGTGAAGAGAGGATTCAGAAGGCAGCCTGGGCCAACTGCATTGGTTTTGGTGTCAGGCAGCCCTGGGTTACGGCCTACTTCATCAGAACTGGCTATGTGGCCTGGTCAAGTTGCTTAACCTCTCTTAGCCTCCATTTCCTCATTTGTAGAAAGAAGATTGTATCTCTATGTAGGGATTAAATGTGATAGTGGCCTGGCTCCTGGCTAGGCTTGATAAACAATGGCATTACAAACATTCTGTCCACGTGGACTTTTTGGAGAAAGAATCCTGTTCCCTCCCATCAAGCTCCTAGGGAAAGGCCCATCCACTTGGAAGCATTATTGTGGATTTGAAGTTGAGGATGGATTGGAACCTTGCTGATCTGGTTCTGAGGCCGTGTGGATAACCTCCTATACAAAACCCTTCAAGACAAGACACTGCCCCAGCATTTGAGCAGAGAAGAAGCCTTTCCCACCCTTCATGTCATTGGATCTTCACATGAACCAGTGAGAGAGTGAATATACAGGGTCTGGCGAGATTGTTCTGTCTTCCAGAGAATAGTTAAGCAACCTGCCCAAGGTGACACAGTTCAGTAGTAATGGCATGAATGAACTTATGCTTCAGCTGGCCTCATGCCCTGGTATCAGCGGGCAAATCATGATGTCACTGGATGCTAAACCCTGCCCTTTACATTTCAAAGCTGAATGGCCCGGGCTTAGTTAGAACAATTGTGCCCCTGACTAGAGAGATGGTCGACTGAAGCCCAGAGAGGTCACAGAGCTATGCAGAGGGAGCTAACTGCCAGCTCAGTCGTCTTCCCACTGCTGCCTCTGTGCCAGATTTCAGTGTCCTTGTCTTTCATGTGACATGGTGGTGTAGGGTGTGGTGAGGGAATAATTCTGCACTCAGTGTGTATGAGTCCAAATCCCAGCTCTGTCACTTATAGCTGGGTGACATACCTTCTCTGTGGCCCAGTCTCCTCCACTGTATAAAGGGCATACTAGCAGCATCTGACCAGTAGAAATAAACGAGTTAATACATGGAAATAACTTAGAATGCTGCGTGACATGTGTCAAGGAGTCTATAATATTAGCTATTATATTGTTACCTTTATTCATACCATAGAAGACATTTTTATCCCAGACAAATAAGCCAGGCCTGGTATGTCCTATGTAGTTTTCATCAACCGTGTGAGCATGTGACCTGTGACCCAGAGAAGGTCCTTGTATCTTCCACAAAATAGGGATCCACATTGGGGATATATATTGGTGAACAAGATAGTTAGCATCCTTATGAATGATAGAAAAGGATGCCTGCCAAAAATGCTGTGTTCTGCAAAGTTATTTTACTTACCATTTTTCGTTTAATAGATCATATTTCTTTAATTGTATTTATATGAAAAGCAAACTCCTTACCACTAATGAAATCTGTCTCACTTCCTGAAATAGAAGGTTGCCATAAAATTATATATATTCCTTCTGTAACACTTTTCTCCCTCCCAGGATTGACCTTCATGCTTGCTTTTGTTTTAAGATTTCAAGCAGTAGAGAGGTATCGAAAACATTCCCAGGTCAAAAGGAGGCTTTATCATTGACCTCTTTCCCATGAAGCTGACAGGATTCAGGTACAGCAGCACCTTTTCCTAGCCCTGTGACCCTTGGCTACATACTCCTGTATGTACTTTGTCATTAATAAAACGACTTCATAAATAGTATTTTGCTTTAAGATTATTGGGAGGATTCAAAAATTGAAAGTGTTTAAACAGGACCTTCACAGATTAAATGCGATCTAAAAGGAATATTGAAAGGGAAATAATCACTTGTTTTTTTATTTAGTGCAGTGTCTGCACATCACCTAAAATGATCCCTCCCTTGGGGGCATCTCAAGCTTTGGGAACCTCCATCTTTATGTGGGGTGGCCCTGCTAGGTATAGGAAGCTTCAGGGAAGTTTAAGCAAAAGAATTCCTGGACGAATATGTTCATACATCCGTTCCACCTTGGAGGATAGAAGGGACGGAGGCACAGCCCTATGTCTGCCCTGCTGCTGTGTACAGGAGGAACATGGCTGTGAAGGCCTTAGGTGGGAATAGGGACAGGCAGTGTGGAAGAGGCGAAGGTCACATCAAGGTCAGTTCTCTGCACACAACTCGCTAGCTGCGCTCCCCACGCTCCCGGCAATCCGGGAATGTGAGCACGAGCCTTTGGTTGCACACGGGCTCCGGGAAGGCGACGCTGAGGACAACGGTGCGGGGCGAGGGGTGGAAGTCGGCTAGGACCTAGGGGCTGAGTTCCCAGAACGCCAGGGGACGGGGTGGCCGGCAACCTCGGGGACATTGGGAAGAGTCAGCAGGGCACAGGGAAGCTGCGTACAGGCGAGCGCACAGCCCCTCCCTCGCGAGCCAGTGCCAAAGAGGCGACCCCGCGGTGCGCACTGAGCCGCACTCGGGACATCTTGCGCCCGGCCCGCCAGGTGCTCACAGTCAGGGCGAGGATCGCGGGCGGCGCTGACTCGGCGGGGCGGGTACGAGGGCCGGGGCGGCGCCTCTGCACCCGGCCCCCTCCTCTGATTATAAGTTGTCTGCACCCGGCCCCCTCCTCTGACTATACGTTGTCTGCACCCGACCCCTTCCTCTGACTATACGTTGTCTGCACCCGGCCCCCTCCTCTGATTATAAGTTGTCTGCACCCGGCCCCCTCCTCTGACTATACGTTGTCTGCACCCGACCCCTTCCTCTGACTATACGTTGTCTGCACCCGGCCCCCTCCTCTGATTATAAGTTGTCTGCACCCGGCCCCCTCCTCTGACTATACGTTGTCTGCACCCGACCCCTTCCTCTGACTATACGTTGTCTGCACCCGGCCCCCTCCTCTGATTATAAGTTGTCTGCACCCGGCCCCCTCCTCTGACTATACGTTGTCTGCACCCGACCCCTTCCTCTGACTATACGTTGTCTGCACCCGGCCCCCTCCTCTGATTATAAGTTGTCTGCACCCGGCCCCCTCCTCTGACTATACGTTGTCTGCACCCGGCCCCCTCCTCTGACTATAAAGGGAGCCCATGGGTTTCTAGGCTTCACTAGGAATTCCATCGCGCACGTGCATCTTCATCTCCATCTTCACCTCCTGATTGGATCTCCAGCCTCACCTCGGCTCGAAATGGATCCAAACTGCTCCTGCGGCACTGGTAAGGGACGCCGGCCTTTTTGATCTTTAAGATCCCTATTTCTTAGCCCCATAACCTGTGTCCCTAGGGCTGGAGGAGGGCGCATTTTCATATCTGAAGTGGACTCATTTAGTTTGTCCTAGTGCTTTCTTCTTGGCCAAGCTCCTGAGAGCATTTCCACCCTCCCTATGCCTCTCTTTCAGAGTTGAGGGTACTGAGGGTCAAGGTTGTCCTGCTTCAGGTCAACCAGTTGGTCAGAGGGTTGCTGGTTGGGCTCAGGTGGTTCTCTTCAGCCTTTGAGCAGCCAGGATGGATGGGTGGCAGGGGACATTGCCTCTTCCGGGTTCAGGGCCTAATGATGTCCTGGCCCCCAGTCCCAGTCTTCCTGGGCTGTGTCTGGAGCTGGACCTTTCTTGGTTAAAAACAGGAGGGCACTTGCCCTTCCCCAACATGAGGGGAAAGAAGATGAGCTTCTCTTCCTCTGCTCTGAGCAGGGAAGGAGCTCTGAGTTGACCTTGCATGGAGGAGGGAGAGTTACTGACCAACTGCTGTGCCTCCTACATCTCAATTCTCACTTTCTTTCTTCCAGGTGGCTCCTGCACCTGCGCTGGTTCTTGCACGTGCAAAGAGTGCAAATGCACCTCCTGCAAAAGGAGTGAGTGGGGGGCCTTCCCTGGGAATTTGGGGGCTGGGCTGACTCACCAGGGGAAACCCAGAGCTCAGCAGGCAGGAACAGGACAGTGACCAGCCTCCCCACATCCCCTTCCCTCAGCACCTGATTCAAGATCAGAGCTGAAAGAGCCATAGTTTCAACCTCTCATTACAGAACTGGGAAACTGAGGCTCAACAAGGTCAACTGGTGTCAGGGACTGAGCCAGAGCTTGAATATAGGTCTCCTGCTTCCTGATACAGCCTTTTTAACCCTCCTGGGTCCTGAAGCACTTAATGACCATGATCTTTGGAACCGCAGTGATTTCTGACCTGCTAGTACAACCTTTTACTGTAGAGGCAGCCCAGAACTTCCCTGGCCCTCCCGGAGCTGCATTGTCAGGGGTTTGCGCCTGTCTGATTTTTGAGGAGTTTCCTCATTTAAGTGCATGGTCGGGGGGCTGGGTGGGAGGAATATGCTGCCAGAACTTTCTTTCTTCGCTCCCAGAATCCCTGTCGCTGCCTTTGTAGGCTTTCTGCCCTATCCAGAACTCAGGTGGGGCAGGGCAGCCATTTTATAGTAAGACCCACCTGTTGTCTCTTGACACAGCATGCCCACCTGAACTAATGGATCTCCAGGGCTGAGGGCAGAGTTTGTGCTGTGCCAGGTGTGCTGTTGGGGCAGGGAGGTGCCTGGTAAGTCTGCTCTGACCTCTGACTTCTCCGTTTCTTTTCTAGGCTGCTGCTCCTGCTGCCCCGTGGGCTGTACCAAGTGTGCCCAGGGCTGCATCTGCAAAGGGGCATCGGACAAGTGCAGCTGCTGTGCCTGATGTGGGGACATCCCTGCTCCCAAATGTAAATACATAAACATGGACAAACTTGGATTTTCAGACAACCCTGACTCACTACATTCCTTTTTCTGAGATTTGAATGACAATAAATTTGTGCAGACTATTCTGGCTCTAGGCACCTCATTTGGTTTTGGGAATATGGCACTTACTTCTAGTTGGGTTGTAGGGGAACTTGGATTGAAGGAGGTCACAGGGAGGGGTCATCAGAAGTGGGGGTCCACCTTCCATACACCTTGCCTTGTTTGCTCCTAAGTACTTAACACCCCTGGCATCATATACACTGGTATTGTTAAATAAGATTTATGGGAGGTCATTGTTTGGACTAAGGTCCTGCACTAGGCCGTATAAGACCAGACTAAAAAATCAAAATCGTTACCCCTGCTAAGTTCCACATCACTTAGATTGTGGTCTGACCTGCAGAGAAATAAGGAGAAAGAGATAGCCAATTTCCTAAGCAGGCTAGTTTAAATCTTCAATAGTTAATGCTAATAAACTTCCCTCTGCTTTAATCCTTATACAAGAATCTGAAGTAGCCTGATGTTAACTAGTCAGTTATCTTTCTATTGTTCTGTCTTGTCCCCAACTTACAAGGAAAGTAACTTTAAAATGACCGATCTGCATTTTGTTCTTTGTTTCTTCAGCCTTTTTCTGTTTATAAAATCAACCCCATTTGCTCAGCTCATTGGAACACCTTTTCTATTTTATGAAGTGTCGCCTGATTCTAGCATCGTAATAAAGCCAATTGAGATCTTCAAACTACAACAAAAGTGGGGGTCCAGGTGCAAGTTGTCTTGCAGTCTTGCCTGGAGTTGGCTCTCCTTTGTGAGCTATGGCAGGGGGGGATCTTCTGCCACCTTCTAGAGACAGTTAAGTGGTGGTCGCTGCCCTTTTTGTATATCTAGGTCACATTCTGTATGTGACAGCTACCTGTGGTGCAATTACTGCATACAGTTAGGCGTGGGCTTCTCAGTGATGAGGGAACATGGAGCTTACAGACTGCTGGGGAGAAAGAGATAATTACAGAATAGGAGGTCTTGTGAAAAAGAAACCATGTTAGCTGCTAAAACTTTTATTTAAGGAAAAAGAAACAAGGGCTGTGACTGAAAACGCAGCTGTGCTGAGCCTAAATGAAGAGCCCTTTCCACTGACACCTGAGAGCTGCATCCCTGCCAGAGGTGTGTTCAGGAAACAGAAGGCCAATCTGTGATAGTGTGAGAGGAGTAGCTCATGTTCCCTCTGGAGACAGGAGGGCAGAGACCATGTGCCTCATTCATCTGAGTGACTCCCAAACCCCAAAATGGTTGCACAGCTGCATCACTGGGAGGGAGAGGTTGAAAACGTGCTCAAGCCAACGTCCCACTTCCCCCTCCCAGCCTGCATTCCGATTTCTTAGGCCTACCTATAATGGGCCTGGTAAATCTGCAGTTTTAACAAGTACCTAAGGTTGCAACCCACTGAAGCAGTCACACGGAATCATTTGAAATAAAATGAGCCTCTGCCATTTCCCCTCTGGTCTTAAAAGCAGGAAATATTTCCTGGAGCCACTCCCCAACATGTGGCTGCCTGTCCTGGTGGCCAAGGAAACCTGGAGGTGCCCAGCTTCAGTCTGGCTGTGGAGGGAGAGGTGGGCAGGCCTCGCCATGCAGGACGTGGTTGGTGTTCTTGTAAAGACCAAACTAGGTTCAGAGGGCAGGTCTGAGCCTCCTTTGGACTCACGCTATGGTGACACTATCCCAGTGTGGGTGGGCTGGTGTCCGAGGGGCCTTTTCCTGGTGAGAGTCTGGCATGGACCTCATGGGGCCTGGGCAAGGCTGTGATGTGGGTGCTGCCCTGTTTATTTCAGACTTGGTCTGGAAGCCCTGGTACCAAAGTCACAAATGTTCCTCGCTGTCACTCTTTCACAACTCTGTTTTGGGGAATTGCAGCTGCCAAACCTCTCAGGAGATGGGTACACGATGTTTTCACCAGGCCTGACAAACATGATCATTGCAGCTTTTTATTTTCCAAGTCATGTATGAAGTGGTATCCTGACTCCTCACCCCCATCCCTGAGCCCCATCTCCCCTGGGGAGAGGGCATGATCATCGTGGATGTCTGTTGGAGAGATTAATTTATAGTAATTTAAAAAATTTTTGATATGGCTGATACTGGAATGCCTTGTTTAATTTCAGAAGTCTCAGAGCCAAGTACATCATTGTGAAACAGCCTGGTAAAGCAGTCAGAGCAGCAGCTCTGGAGTCCGACTACCTGGCTGGAATCCCAGCTCTACTACTTAGGCAAGTTATGTGGCCTCTCTGTGCCTCATATTTCTCACCTGTCAAATGGGGACAATAATAGCACCTACCTGATAGGTTTGTTGTGTCTGGCAGTCCCTGGCACATACCCAGTGCTCATTAAGTGTTACGTCCCTCTGGGCCAGGTGTGGTATCTGACAATCAGTAGGTGATCCATAAATGCTCTTTACTTAATTCAATGAGCACTTATTGGACCCCCTCTTGTATGTAAATCATTGTGCTGGGCACAGAGAGGAAAGATAATATATAAATAAGTTCTAATCCCTTTGCTGGAGATCTTATTCTATTCCCTATTGAATTCAAGGAACAATTATTTACCACTTCAAGATGCAGCTGCCAAGATTGTACAAAGAACTGCACAGAGTCTGAACATCTCAACCTTCAAGAGAAGGACCCACTTCATGCTGACTTTGGGATAGGTGGAGACAAGCTAAGACAGAGGTGTGGAAGCCTTAGGGGAAGGGTGTGATTTACCCTTCTGTCCAGGAGACCAGGAGAAAACCCCATTCACTCACTCATTCATTCATTCACTCACATTTATTCATTCACTCATTCACATGGCCACATCTTGGCCACAGTGATAGAGTATTGGTAGGTGGGCTGAACAAGCAGGAGGTTCTTCCGGAGGGGCGGGGCATGACACCCTGCCCAATGCGGATGATCGGTACAGGCTGAAGGCAAACTGAACCAATTAATCCTCTTTTCTGAGAAGTATAAATTCAACATGCAGGTGGGGGGATAAAAGGGCCACAGGATTTCATGCTATAACTGTAGCTATGTCATAAGAACAGTAAAGAACCCACCCTAAGTGGTAGCTGTGAAGATGATTAGACCAAGCTACATGTCTGCTTTTCTGTGAGAACACTGTGTTTCTCAGTCTCCTAGGGACTCAGAGAGGCTGAACATCTGCTGAAAGGGGTCCCAATGACACCTCACTGCCCTTCGAATTCTGAAAGCAAACCCTGTATCAGGTAGGGTTTGTTGGATGCAAGCAACAGAAACAGATTCTAGATATATTAGGCAAAACAAATTCATTAGAAGGATATTGGGGACCTGTGCAATCAACTGGAAGGATGGAGAACTAGGGTCTGAAAATGGGCAGGAGCTGTGGGTGGCCAGGCAGCAGGCCATGTCCCAGGAACAGTCTGGCTGGGCTGCAACAGTTGGCATAGCTGTCACCACTGCTTCTGCTATCCCCAAATACCCCCACCACGGCCACTGGCCACCACCACTGTGAATGAATTCTAAGCTGCTTGCCCAGTTCTTTACCCCTTGCCTAAGACTCAAAGTCTCAGAAAGTCCAGCTAGTTGGCAGTGTGGAGGAGGAGTATATGGCCACCTTTAGATTCCCTAGGGGGAGGGAGGGTCCTGCATACCCCTAAGACTCACCCTGTGGGGTTTCTTTCTATACCAATAAGAGTCCTGGAAAGAAATCTGAGTAATTGGGGAGAGTTTAATAAGGGGATTGTTTACAAAGGAGTGGGAAGGATTTAGAGAAATGAATAAGATAAGTGAAGACTCCCAGTGGGGAGCAATTACCAAATCTAAGTGTTACCAACCCAGAGAGAGTAGCTGTAGGAGAGGGCGTCCCAACAGGAGCCGTGACCTTCAGGTTGCCACACAACCTGGCAAGGAGGGAGCCCAGGGAATACATTCTGTGACCTCCTGTCCTCCTTGCTCATCTCCCAGTGCTCTCACTGGCTGAACCCAACCGAATGCTGTCCCTGCAGCTCCCATCCACTCCCCAGCTGCGGGGAGGAGGGTCGAGAGTGGGTCTGGAAAACACCCAGCACACCCTGCAAATAGTCTGTGTCCCATCAACAAAGGCCACGTGTGTTTCTTCCCTATTCCCTGGAAGAATCCAATGAATCTAAGGATGAATTCAGCTTACAGGGTTGGAGGGAGGGAGCGAAGGTGTCAGGGATGATGGTAGAAGCCCTGTATTGGCCGCAAGGTGGGGGTGAGGGTGGGGGAACAGAGTATAGGCATTTGAGGCCAATCAGAATGCCTGTCTGCAGGTGTGGCTGAGCCCCCTGGGGAATGCAGGTCGGGGAAGAACTTGAACCACAAATATGTGTGTCCCCATGACATGCCCACCTGGCTGCACCCATTGCATCACAATACCCACTGAGCCACCCTTTCAGAGTGGTCCCCGGGGCCACCCTGGCTGCCTGAAGGTCCACATCCACCTCCTGCCCTGGGCGAAGCTGTGTCATCAGCAAGACTGGCCACAGTTCCCCACACACCCCACCACCCCACCCCACTCCTTCCAGATCCTTTCCCTCCTCCACGGGGGCTTTTCTCCCTCCTGTGCAGATTCCAGGGCTTCTGCCCCCAACTCTTCTACACAGCAAGGACAGGGAAGTTGGGGAACGCTGTAAGGGCTGACTGGATTTTTTGCCTTCTCAGGGGTCAGAGATCCTTCCTCTGAGCCTCTGCCAGACTTGGTGATCTTGAGTCCTCATGGGAGGAAGGTGAGGCAAGGCTGGGGAAGCTGGTGCTGCCACTGAGGCTGGGCGATATGAAGGACTCAGTGGACTAGCCCACTGGGGATTCCAGAGGTTGCCTAGTAAAGCTGAGGATGGGATCTGGGCCCCAGTACCTGGCCTGCCTGATATATCATTTCCATCCCTGGGGGAGGGGGGAGTAGCCTCCCAAACCTGAGCAAGTCTAAGCCAGAACCTAAATCAGTAGGTCAGTAATCTCAGGTCACCCAGCCTGGGAGAGTTTGCTGGTGTAAG